CAAAGCAGTATTTTGTGAAGAAGATCGAAATAATGTAGAACCAGACATTACCAAAGGAACACCAACAAATATCAACAAATCAGATGTAGGAGATAGTACAACAGATGAATTATTGGCATTTATAGAACAAGACAAATTTAGAATTGAAAAATTAAAACGACGTTATAATGAAGTCGAAAATCAATATCATCCAATAATAAATAATATTATTGGTTATAACACTGAAGATAAAATCGATAAAATTGTCGATAGAAAAAATGAAAATGATAGTCGACAACAAGTTGGATTTACTTATAACGAGAATATTAATAAACATGAAAATAATGGAAACAAAAATCGTACTGTGATTAATGAAGTGCAAAGCATTGTTAATCGCCATTATAATAACAGTAACGGCAATAATATTAGTAGGAATAATGATAATGAAAACGACAACGATGATAATGATGATGACGACGACGATGAATTAAATGATTATGGATTTAACCGTAGACCATCAGTAACCGGCATCAAACGACGTCAACAAGACAATAATACCGAAGAAAAATTTCATCAATGTGGAAGTTTGGAAAATGATAATACAAACGTTCTTGAAGCAAATTTTCATTCTTCGTTACCGGTATATTATGAAAATAATTGTATTAAAGTTGATAGCCGAATCGCATTATATGACAAAACAATAAATGGTTCTACATCAAACTCGTTTCTTGACACTGTAGTTGCTGATGAACAAGATGCGAACACAATTAATAGAATAAATACAATGCAAAAACAAATTGATGATATCTATCAAACTATTGTAGAGAATACTAATGTTACTGCTCAAAATTCTTTGGATTGTGCACAGTACACGGACGATGTTTTCATACAACAATATTCTCGATTACCAGCAAATGATAATAACTTTCGTTTTTATCAAGATTCCAGAAATAGTCAGCATTTTCAAGAACAATTAAATATTACGAATACACGATCAACGCGAGGTATTGCAATCGGAGCTGAAAAGATTGATGGCAATAATACTATTACTGATACCAGTGAAGATAGAAATACAAATGGATTCTCTGGAAAAACTCGACGAAGAGAATCTATTGCAACTTCTTCTAATTATCGATGTAACATAATGCCTACAAATGCGTATAAAGGAGTTCCTACCAATGGCAAATGTTACCGAACCATGTATTTTGTTCCATATAATAGTATATCCGATCCAACTTATCAAAATATTCAACGCATTTTGCCATCTCATCCTTCTCCTAGTTACGCAAATCATATTGAAAGATATCCATATCCTCGATCTAACAAAAATAATCATCGATTGCAAACACAAACGCAAACACAACCATCATTATCAACAACACAACAATTGAAATATTTCCATTTAGGAAATCCTTCAATATCACCAATAACAAACATTTCTCAAAATCTTGATCACGTTTCGCCACTTCCTTCTTCTGATTCATTCAGTAATCATTTCTCAAAATCTTCTTCTCTTTTTGATTCTCGGCTTACATCGTCTAATCCAATTACATTACAACCTACACAACAAACTTTGCATCTTCATTTGCATCATCGTCAGCAACCAGATGATTTTCGAATTTCCGGAGTTGCTTTTTCTTCGGTTCCTCATACTGTGAATCATTCATTGCAATTTCATCATCACACGCAACAACAGCATCATTCATATCATCGGCACAATCACCAACCAACCTTTTATCATTTACCATCCACCATATCCGTAACATCTTCTTCTTCATCCTCCTATACCGTAATAGCACCATCGAAATGTGCTTCCTTTAATGGTGGCGGGATAGCAACATCCGAAGGTTCTTATCGATTTTATCAACTGCATTTAGGACGTACAGTTCTCACACCTTCCTCTGATCTTCAATCGGCTCAAACATTTTTATCCTCATCTGATTCTATTTCAGGTCCTACTAATTCCACTTCTCCTTCATTATCATCTTCGCATTTATCATCATCTTCTTTACAATCCACTTTTTGTTCTCTACCAACAGTTACACCTCAACAAATACCTCAACAAACCTCGAACTTTATTCTTCCAAATTATACAGGGATTATTCATTCTATTTCTAACAATTTCGTAACTTCTGCACCGTCCACTGTCACTGTTTTCTCTTCTTCAACTATTTGTACCTTGTCTTCTTCGTTGACATCATCATCATCTTTAACATCATCATCTGCTTCTTTTTCTTCTTCCTCCTCCTCTTCTTCAACTTGTTCCTTTTCTTCCTCTTCGTCATCTTCCTCCTCATCTTGTTCATCATCTTCTTCGTTACAAATTCCTTGTTCACCTTCGAAACTACAACAACAACAAATAATTAACAATTATACAACAATGGAACGTGGAGTTCCTGAAGGAACAGCTAACGTATCATCCCACGATGTTTCGCAATCTGGAATTTTGCTTACAACAAATTCTTATGTCACACATAATTCCACTGGTGTTCAAACTTTACCAGCTCATGCGCAAAATTCTATATATTATGTCATGAACGTTTAAATCCATATATTGTTAGGTACATGTTTATATATATATATTTTCATTTTCTGATCATTTATTAATTAACGAAGTTCTATATTTTTATTGAGATTAACTAGTACACTTATAAATATTTCTTATACTAATTGCATGTATATACTTGATAACAATATTATATAACAAAAATTATTATCAAGAACATTTCATTTTACATGCAAAATATATAAATAATTATATATATATATATATAAAACACACACAACTTATAAATCATAAATCACAATACAAAGAATATAATGCAATTATTATTTAAATATATCAAATAATAATGAATTTATTATTCTTATTACACCTGCTTAAAAACACATACATATTTGAATATCAAAATAGAAATATTTTCCTTATTTCTCTTAAGTAAATAGAAAAATTTATCCATTTTTATTCATATAAAACAACAATAAGCGATGATAAAAATATTTGCGTTTTTACTAAGGCACGCAAATAGATAAACTGCCTTTTTCATTTCGAATTAAATACGAATCAAATGGAATGTAAATTATATTTATATTATGGAAAAAATCCATCTGTATAATTTTGAAAAATTGTTTGCTACTTATCATATGGCAAGATTCTAAATATATTATAATCGATCGATTCTAGTCACGACGATATACTTACAGGGATATCAAATAAACCAAAGGATGTTCACAATCTTGATGTGCAGATGTAAGTACAGTTGATACAAATTATTTTCGATAGATTGAAATTAATTTTTGCAGTGGAATTGAGAGATAAATGAATTAGAAATTTTATAATTAAAAAAAAAAGAAAAGAAAGAAAGATGAAACATGTAAAAATAAAAACATTAGATTTAAATTAACGTCAATATATATATGCGTGTGTGTATGTTTATGCACGTATATTATATATATATATATATATATATATATATNGCGAAAATGCAGGTCAGAGAACCGTCTAATATTTATTGTTCAGATCGCGCATTCAATCTCATTGTTAATAGCGCGGTGACACGCCATTCTTTATAACTATGCTCCCTAAATTTAGCTTTTAATCTTTTCGATCCAATTAACTCACATAGTGAAATTTATTATGTATACTAAATTTCTATTGGGAATTTAAGATATTTAATATTCAATATAAGTTATAGGTTTTCTTGCAAAAATTTATAGTATTTATTTATTTTTATTTATATAATATTATTATATTAATTATATAATATCTATAGAAAAATTTGTATACAAGTTTTTTTTATTAATAAATATTAATTTCTAAATTTTTTAATGTTAATTATTTTTTTTATAAGATAATTTTTTACAGATGCAAATAATTTTATATATTTATATTATTATTAACTTATAATAATATTTCTTAATTTCTTTAGAAACAAATTATCAATTTTTTTACTAAAATTTATTGTTCTTTAAGGAATATCTAAAAGAGTCTTGGAATTTTATGAAATTTGAGGTTTGATCAGTGTCGTAAGAGTTATATAGCACTTTGAGATGAAATAGTCTAGTGAGGAGTTTAAGGTGCGGCGAAGGAACGTGGAATGTTGCAATGGAAATTTATTGCAGTATTAGTAAATAGATAGATTGATCAAATTTGTGTGCAATATTAATAGTTTATCTATTAATTTTTTTTTCTTTGATTAAATGATTTTGTAAATTAAAAAATCATAGCATAAAATATGATATAAAATAAATAAACTATATTATTGTATAATAATTTTTCTCATCTGCCATCTATAGATCTTTCATTAATTTTATAAGATAATTTCAATTGTGGATGTTGATTATTCTTTCTGTGAAGAAAACGAAAATGGAAAATAAATGTTCGTTCGGAATAACTAACGTAGAAGGCTAAATTTACGCACGTGCACGGAAAAGATCAACGAGGAATTAGTCTAAAACTCGATGTTTTATTGGTATGGTGTTCTTGAAACATATCCAAAGAGGTTGTCGACCTCGAAAGGGATGGACGCAACGGTTTCTTAAGAATTTTTTATTTTGCCTCATTCTAATGAAACTTGTTTAAAATCAACATATATCTAAATATATATTATCAGTTTTGCAGAATAATAAATGCTTAAAATTAAACAATGTTGGATAAAATATGCTTTTGTTTAACTCTTTTTATTTTTGATATTACCTTTGTAATATGTATTATTTACTACATTATTTAACTATTTATTATCATTTATTAATCTAATAATAACTAAATAATAATTAAAAATTACAATTAAGTTAAAAATTAATAAGAAAAAATTAATAAAAGAAAATAAAAAAATTTAACCAATAATAAAATTATTAATTATCGATATCATATTTTTTTTATGTTAATGAATATTAAATTAAATTCAAAAATTTTGTGATATATTTTGCACATAATAAATAAAATAAATAAAATAAAATAAATAAATTAAAATACAATACAATATAATATAATATAAAACATTTAACATTTATTGTATTATATACATATTGTATATATACATATACATTGTATATATACATATATATATATATATATTGTATTTATATATTTATACATATGTATATACTTACACGTGCACATGTAAACACGTAATGTACGTGTATATAATGTGTGCATATCTTTTATATATAAAATGTTTGTTTTTATTTTTTTGCGAATCGAGCGTATGCCGAGTGAGACGAAAATGAAAGATAGATCGTACCAATAATCAGACGAACTATCGTTAATCGAAGTATTTTCGTATGCACTGTATGACAAACTCACACAGTCATTGTTCGAACAATGCTAATAGACTTTAAAAACGATGTTAAAAGCTCTCTACAAAACAATACATCGTCTTCTTCTAACTGGTTCTGGAGGTTCTAATGCTGCTAAAATTGCTTCGTCGAATACATTTTTTAAACCTTTCTAAAAAAGTAAAAAAATAATAATATATAGGAAACATATAATATTAAGAAAATATTTAAAAAATAACTATAAAGAATACAGTATTTTTTGAGATTACAAACACAGCCATACTTGTGTAAGAGCACTACATTCCACATATTTTACTGCTTTGAGTTCCTTGGCGAGTTTTTCACCTTGTTCAGCCGATATAGGTTTTTGTTTATTTTTTGCAAGTTTTTCAATAGTTGCTGCATCATCTCTTAAATCAATCTGAGTACCAACTAGCAAAAATGGAGTCTTTTGGCAATGATGAGTTATTTCTGGAACCCACTGATGAAAGATTTCTGAGTTGAAAAATTATTTTTGTAAATAGAAATAACAAATATATATACATACCTTTTCCTTAACATTTTCAAAAGATGATGGAGATACAACCGAAAAACAAACAAGAAATACGTCAGTTTGAGGATAACTCAAAGGACGTAATCGGTCATAATCTTCTTGACCTTTAAATGAATTATTAATATTTAATATAATATTTTAATTGTATATATATATATATATATATAGATATATAATTAAAAATAATATAATATAATTAAAACATAAAATATGTAAATATAATAAATGATTATATAATTGACATAAATTTATCAAGATTACATTAATAATTAATAAAATCTTTTAAAGAAATAAATACAGAAATATAAGTTCTGATTAAAAAGAAATTACTTCATTTAATAAAATAAATGCTATATGATATTTTTAACAATATCTATCAATATATTATATCTATCAATATATCATATTTATTTTTATAAATGATTTTTTTTCTAATCTAATAAACTATAAACTTAATAAATATATGACATTTACCTGCTGTATCAAATAATCCTAAAGTATATGGTTCACCACCAATCATAACAGTTACAGCGTAATTGTCGAATACTGTTGGAACATATTCGGATGGAAACTTATTGGTAGTATATGAAATCAACAGACATGTTTTACCTACTGCACCATCTCCAACTACAACGCATTTAATAGTCTGCATTTTTTTTTATTTCCTTCGAATATTCCTGTGCAGAAAAAAAATATAACATGCTACTAAAAGTATACATGTGTTTTGTACATAAACTTTCTTATATAAGTATTGATATCAATCAACAATATAAAATTATGTTTTATAATATTTGATTTAATTCAATATAATTAAATTTTATCATTTTTTGTCATGTTCCATTATATTCCGTCATGTCCAATTATGTTCCTTAATGTATATTTTATTAAATAAATGGAAATATACTTTGAATTTCAAAGGCTACATTTGTCAAGCAAATAAAAAAAAAATATTTATACAATAAATGAAAAAAATAACGATCGTTAATATTCAATAAGTCAATGTAATTACAGAGATAGATTTGTGATGAAATAATTGTTTTTCAGATCGCCATTTTTGGTATTTTGTCAAATCTATCGGCTTCTATTTCGATAAATTATTATTCGAATGTATAATCAAATATATTCAATGATATGTTTCATAATTTAATCCATAATAAAATGTAAATTACATTTAAAAAAAGAGAAAATATACATAAAATTTGACTAAAACACTCACAAGTAACTGGGCGTCGACAACACACTTTACTGTCACAAATTTTTCAAACAAATATAGAAAGCCAACGATCAACGATTCATTATTTCGAAGACATAGAGTCAACTGCCATCTAGGATATTTTATCCTACTAAAAATGAGTTATTTTTGCAGTTTCATCGATACTATATAATTTATTATGATAATGTATTAAAAATAATTCTATTTATCGATTAATTTATTTTATTCAAATTAAAAAAATAAATAAAGAATAATATAAAATATTTAAAAAATATAATTTATATATTATGGTTAAAAATTTATAAAATATTTTTATTATTCAAAGTCTCTTTTTAATATTAATTTATGATTTATATATTTGCATTAAATATTAAAATATAATATATATATAGTATATAGTATATATAAATTAAGCTATTTTATGTATTATAAATAATATATATAATATAAATAATATATTTTTGAAATTTGATTAAAATAAATTATTGGACATTAACAACATATTCTACTATCACAAATGTTTCAATATAGAAAGCCAACGATCAATGATTCAATATTTCAATATTTTGAAGATAGAATCAATATATATAGATAATATATATAGATAATATAATTTCGAAATAATGTGTAATATATACATATGTATATAAATAAATATATTAACTTACTTACATATCATAAATACAAATAGTTTATGTTTAATTTGATATAGTGTAATAATATAGATGGCGTATCGATTATATTTTATTCTTGTATTTTTTTAAATGGAATGAAGTAATCTAATTATTTTTATTTAATAATTTTATTAAGTTGAGTTGTCTTTTATGCATAATAATATAAGCATAAAATAAAAAAATTTAGAAATTTATTATTATATATAAATTTAATTAAAAGAACATACGTTTATTTAATATTGTTCATTATCTGTTATCTGTGAATATAAAGTGAAACTAAAGTGATTTTTGCGAATATGGGGTTACCTCGTGTATATTTTGATATATCGGCTGATGATAAATCATTAGGTCGTATCATAATGGAATTACGAACAGATATAGTTCCAAAAACAGCAGAAAATTTTCGCGCCCTTTGTACGGGAGAAAAAGGTTTTGGATATAAAGGAAGTATCTTCCACCGAGTAATTCCTAAATTTATGTGTCAAGGTGGAGACTTTACTAACCATAATGGCACGGGAGGAAAATCAATTTATGGAGAAAAATTTGAAGATGAAAATTTTGAATTAAAACACATTGGTCCTGGCATATTGTCCATGGCAAATTCTGGACCTAATACTAATGGTTCACAATTTTTTTTAACTACTATAAAGACTACTTGGTTAGATAATAAACATGTAGTTTTTGGTTCTGTCGTGGATGGTATGGGTGTAGTAAAAAAAATTGAAAGCTATGGTTCTCAAACTGGAAAAACTCATCAAAAAATTATGATTACTAATTGTGGTCAACTCTAAAATATTTTAGTAATATAATATATTATATATAATTTATTTATAATATATTGTATACATATATACATAACATATATAATATATGTATATATATATATATATATATTTTTCTTATTAAAATATATCTATTAAGTTTTATAAAATGAACATAATATAGAACAAGCAATAAATAGAATAATTTGTTTTATATGTGAAAATAATTGACAATATCTTATTTTCTCTCTTTGGTACATTCTTTCTGACATATTTTTTCATTCATATATTTGCATTAAAATTTGCTTCATATAAAGTACATCATTAATAACTTGTAATATGCAAATAATTGGAAAATAAAAAAATATAAAAAATGAAAAGATTATAAAAATAAGTGCATTTTTTTCATATTTCAATAAAATGTAAAAATAGTATGAATGAATTATTAAGTCAATTTTTTATATAGATATATTTATATATATCTATAATATATATATATATATATATATATATATACATAATATACATTATATATATACATAAATTTAATTCTCAAATTTTACAAATATATTTAATTATTCATACATATTTATACATATATGTATATACATATATACAAAATACATACATACATACATTTATACAACTATATGTATATATAAAATAACATATCATAGAAAAAAGAAAATTATTTGTGATGAGTATAGCACATTCATTATAGAATTGATATTAAATTCGTAATTTTCAAATATTTGAATAATTCAAATATACACTAAGTGCATATAATACATATAATATGCATTAACAAGTAACAAAAGAATTAAAGAAAGAATTCTATTTTCATATTAAAATCTAATAACAATATAACAAGTTATATTATAAATATTATAAATTATTAAAATATCAATCAATACATATAGGTAAATTAACCATGAAAAATATATTAAGTTCCAAAATAGAAGCAAATACTAAGAAAATGATATACATAATAAGACAAATTATTCCAACGGATCGTGTTAATTTAAATTTGCCAACTAAAAGAGATAAATAAAGAACAGTAAGAGTAGAAAATAATGATATGGAGCTATAAATTAGTCCTTGAGAATTAATCGTCACATAATGATTGCCAGATTCTTTCGAAAAAAGTGCTGCTTTTAAAAACCAAGGTAATCCAAGGCAAAGCAATACATCGAATACATTTGAACCAATTGAATTACTGATGCCCATAGCTCCATGTCCTAAAAATTAGAAGAATTATATGTCAATTATTAAATTTTATAAAAGATACAAAAAATTTTAATTTAAAAGTATTAAAATAAAATATTAGAATAAAAAAAATAATCATTAGTTAGGAATATCAAGAAATTTTACTTTAATTGTAAATATACATGTATAAAATTGTTGACATATATATATTAAATACAAATAATATTATACAAATAATATTAGCTATCTATAAAATGAAAAAAATTAAATAAATTTGATCATTTGCTAATAATGTCACTTGATGTATTATCGTAGCTTAGCATGTTAATATCAGGATTTTTATTCGATACTTATTTTTTGATTTTTTATTCGATATTATTTTTTATCGATTTAATAAAATAAATGATAATTATTATAAATGATAGAAGGATCATCGATCATTTTCAAATAGAAATAACTTGTTTAAATAGAAATTAATTTTAATCGATATCCCATATTAATACTATATCAAAAAATCAATATATAAAAAAAATAAAATTACCTTGATTCGCAACAATAACACTTGACACAGCCTCCGGTACACTCATTCCTGCCGCAAGAAAAGTTAATCCCATTATAGAATCGGGAATCCTAAATGTATCGCCTAAAATAATATTCATTATCACGTAATATCAAATATATATAAATATACCTACTTAATTATTTTTTTGTATTTGATGTACATTTATTATATATGCTCATATCATATTATTATATTTTTTGTAACTATTAACTATAAATATTTACTAAAAATAAAATCTGACCAATTAAATATGATGAAATTGTTTAGTAAAAATTATTATGCGTACCAATTACAGTAATGACCCATCCAACTATGTATGAAGTAGATGCTATCCATATTATGCACATAATAAAAGTAAGAGGGTACCAAGATTTTAATGTGCTTCTTCTGCAATCGGGAATTGTGATGAGAAGCACGAAATTTATAGGCCAAGTAATCAACCACCAAATTCGTTCACACTTCGATTTTGGCCAATTCGTCATATTTACAATTTCAACTAGAAAATAAAAGAAATATTTTACTGTATTTATAATTATATGTATACTATGTACATTACACTTACTATTTTATGCTTTACATATACTATGCTTTTTGTATAATCCATATTACTTACGCGATTCATCTTCTTCACTCGATTCTAATAAATTAATATCTATGTTTTTAATATCTGAAAAGATAAATGAATGATATTTTTATAAATAAAAATCAATTATATATAAGTCACAGAATTGAGTAAAAAATTAATGTAATAAAATGAGTAAAATTAATGTAATACCATTAGAAAATAAAGGAGTTTTTTCAGAAAGATTCTTATACTTTTTTCTTGTTCTTGTTGCATATTGAATAAATTGATGTATATTACGATCAAAACACATTACTGAAACGATAAAAATTCACATATAATAGAACTAGAAAAACAATCTATGCGAAAACATTTCTAAATATATATAATGTTAAATAATAATAATAGAATATAAATAGAAATAATAATAAAATATATATATATAAATATATAAATAAAAAATATATAAATATAAATAATAATATATTTATATATAAATATATAATATATATATTACATATATAAATGTTTTTTTTTAATTAAATTATTATATTAAATTATATTAGAAAAAAGTTTATATCATTATATTAATATTAGAATCTTAAAACTATTTGAATTTTTAGCATATTCTTGTACTAATTTTATTTATTGATAAAAAAAAATAATAAAAAATAATGAAGAATCAATTTAATAATATACAATTTAATAATATACATATATCATAAACTTACCTAAAATATATAAGAAATATGAGAGAACAAGAATCAATGCTTCGTACCATTCAATTCGACCATCTCGTAAAGTCAAAATTAATAAAAGGACAGTAATTGCATATGCAATAGTGTCTCGTGTTACAGGCCATGCTTCCAAGTTTAATATCTGCAAAGAAATTTACTTTAATTATTCCTTTTATTTTTTTCAATCGTTATTTCTTTATACATATATTTATATAAAAAGGTGAAACTATATTTATCTTTACTTATATACTAACATTATATACTTATGCATATTAAAATAATATTTGAAAAAAAAAATATATATATATTTTTTTTTCATTCCTTACATATATATATATATATATATTTTTCATTCCACATATTATCAATAGCATATTTCAATAGTATTTATTGATAAATAAAAAAAAATTATACCTGATTTGCAAATAAACCACAACATGCAGGTACCGCTAATATATTGAAAACTGCAGAACCAACAATCGTACCAACACCTAAATCTCCCTCTGTAATAAAAGTACCTACAATATTAATGAATAGTTCCGGACTAGAACTAGCTGTTGCCATAATCGTCGCTCCTGCAACATCTTCTGAAACGTTAATCTCTAAAAATCAAATATACATAATGATTTTAAAAATATTTCTTTTGTAATTTTTCTCCTTTTTTGACAATTAAAATTTTAAAAATTTCATTTTTCTTTCTTTTTTTTTTTTGAAATAAGAGTTATATGTTACTTACTATCGCAAATTTTTTTAATTGATGGCACAAAAAAATCATCACAAACAATAGCAAGTAACAGAAACATATAAATTGCTATTACAAAATGTATCAATATAAATCCTAATTGTCTTTGTTCTCGAGTAAGGCCATCAGATGGAAATTCTTTGATCGCTGGAGGAGTACAATTGTCTACTCTGTTTTTTCCAGGTTCAATAGTAGTTAATCCAATTTGTAATAATTTTCGAAATTCTTAAAAAAAAATAGTATATACGTCTTTCTAATAATAAATATTATATAATATGATTTAAATTTAATATAATAATAATAATGAAATATAAATTATTAAAAAAAAACTTAATGACATTTTTTGATACAAATAAAATATAAAAAATAAAAATAAAATAAATATAAAAAATAAAAATAAAAGAAGAAAGAAATATTTGAATAGAATGTTTAAATCATATTATTTTTGATTAAATAATATATAAATTTCTCTTAAAATTCTACAAGATATATTTATATATTATTTATATATTATTTATATATTAATTTATTTATATATTAATTTATATATTATTTATATATTATAATTATATATTAATAATTTATATATTATTTATATATTAGTCTATCTTATGACACACACATACACACATATATGTAATATATAATAACATATATATTACACATATATATAATATATAATATATAGTTTATATATTATATATATATATATATATATATATATATATATATATAT